GACAGAGGGCTAGGATAAACTGGCTAAAGTTCGGAGACAGGAACACTTCCTATTTCTACAATGCGGTCCGCCAGAGGAGAGCGCGTAACGAAATCCACTTTCTCACTGATGAACTTGGGAATAAAATCTCTGAACCATCGACCATAAAGGACCATGCAGTGGGTTTCTACAACCAACTGCTTGGCCAATCTGACCCGGATGTCTCACGTGCACCTATCACTTGGTTGGAAAACCTATTCCCGGAAGGCTGCCCTCAAGAGATCAAATCCTCATTAATTACTGAAGTCTCCGCAGAGAAAATTACCCAAGTCTTCCATTCCATGGCACCGAACAAAGCCCCCGGTCCAGATGGGTTTCCTAAGGAATTCTTTGTCTCATCATGGGACACGGTGGGGGAACACTTGATTGAAGGAGTAAAGGAGTTCTTTCGTTCGGGCAAACTCCTAAGGGAACTAAACGCCACTATTATCACTTTGGTGCCTAAAGTCCCCGAAGCCACCAAGCTAGGGGATTTTCGGCCTATCAGTTGTTGTAATTTCCTTTACAAAGTCATTTCAAAAATTCTTGCTAATCGTCTTAAGCTTGTCCTACCTTGGGTGATATCAGGAAATCAGGTAGCTTTTCAGTGTGGCCGGAATATGCTGGACCACATTCTGCTTGCCTCGGAGCTGATTAGAGATTACCATAAAGCATGTGCGAAGCCTAGTGCGATGCTGAAAGTGGACATCAAAAAGGCATTCGACTCCATATCCTGGGAATTCATCTTGGATATCCTCAAAGTTATCCAACTACCACCACGTTTTATTGGATGGATTCGGGTATGCATCTCCACCCCATCCTTCTCGGTGGCCATCAATGGTGAGTTAGCCGGGTTTTTTCGAGGCAAGCGAGGGCTCCGACAAGGCGACCCAATCTCTCCGTATTTGTTCATCCTGGCCATAGAAGCCTTATCAAGGTCTTTGGATCGGGCAATGCGACTCGGAATATTGACTCCTCACCCAAGGTGTGGTTTCCCTTTGATCTCCCATCTAGTTTTTGCTGATGACTTGATGGTGTTTGTAAAGGGCGAAGTGAACTCTATTGTCACGGCTAAAGAGTTGCTATCTGAATTTGGCCGCTTATCGGGGCTGAAACTAAACACGGCAAAGTCAGAATTATTTCTAGGAGGAATGACGGATGAAGAGGCTATGTCGTTTGGTGTCGCCGTGGGATTCTCTCTGGGCAACCTGCCAGTCCGTTACCTGGGGGTTCCCATCGGCCCTTGGAAGCTCCGCCGTCAGGATTACAATCCGCTTTTGACGAGGGTAACGAGCAAACTTGCTGCATGGACAACGAGGTATCTTTCATACCCGGCTAGATTATTGTTGATATCATCGGTAATTTATGGAATGGTCAACGCTTGGAGTCGTGCTTTCCTACTTCCTAAATTTCTACTTAAGGAGATTGATGGGTTATGTTCAAAGTTTCTATGGAAGAATTCTCTAGAGGGTAGGAACTCGGCGAGAGTGGCATGGTCACATGTCTGCCAACCAAAAAACGAGGGAGGTATGGGCTTACGGCGGCTGGAGGATTTCAGCTCCGTGTTTCGGCTAAAGAGTATTTGGCTTATTTTCAAGGAATGAGGTTCTTTATGGGTGGCTTGGTTGAAACAACATATATTGAGAAAAAAAGGTGTTTGGGGAGTTATATCATCCCAAAGGCACTCTGCTCACCTTCGGAAACTGTTAGGGTTTCGGGAAGAGGCGAAGAAACTCATTAAATGCACCGTGGGGGATGGGAGAGATGCTGATTTTTGGAACGAAAACTGGACAGGTTTGGGTCCTTTGATTGAGCTTACAGGTGCTAATGGTCCTCGAGTACTAAAGGTTCCATTATATGCGAAAGTCAGAGATAGTTCGGAATGGGGAATGGCACTTCCCGGGGGCTCGTTCTGCTGCTGTCCAAGCGATCCTAGCTCGAATTACCTCTATAACTCCTCCGACAGATGGGGCGGGGAAGGACAAGTACGAGTGGAAGACTTCGGACTCTTCCTTCAGCCATAAATTCTCCTCCAAAGCGACGTGGCGGATGATCAGGCCTAGAGGATCCCAGGTTCCTTGGACCAAATTGGTATGGAGCAAGCTGTCAACTCCGCGACTGAGTTTCACCCTATGGCAAGCTTTTCTACATAGGCTTCCCACCAAGGACCGACTCTCTAGCTGGGGGTTGGGAATCCAAACCACATGCGTACTCTGCCAACACGCAACTGAATCCCATAATCATTTGTTCTTTGAATGTGATTATAGTATGCAGGTTTGGGGACTGTTCTCTGCGGTACTATATTCGTCGCCTCCTACGTCCCTAGTTGGTTGTGATTTATGGTTGCAGAGGCAAAATGATGGCACAAATTCGCCGAAGCGAGAGTTGTCAAAACTTGTCATACAGGCGACATCCTATGTTATATGGAGGGAGAGGAATCGTCGGATCTTTCGACAGGAATCATGTTCTATTGGGAAGATACGCTTTGAACTAGACAGATTGATGAGAGACATCATCATTTCAAGGGAGACAGTGTTGCCTTCAATGGGAAACACTTTGGAGGACTTTTGGCTACTTCAGACAACATCGATCCGACAATTCTTGAGGGATTAATTTTGGTTTTGTTACTTAATCTTTGTTATCATCTTTTTTGATGGAATCCGTACCTTAGGGGCTAGTTTTCGACAAACGGTCGGGTCTGTAAAAGAACTTAAATTTGTTGATTAATCGATTTACCGTTATCAAAAAAAAAAAAAAACCCCACCGAGTTGAGACTTCGCAAAAAAAAAAAATCAGTATACCAAAATCATCTCAAATGAGTACAATATAACTACATTATCACAAAACAATTACAAAACATTAAACATAAACAAACACACAAAAACAAAGTAATAATATAATATATATATATATATATATATAATAATGATATAATAATAAATTATTGTCCCCATATTCATATCAATAATTAGCGAAAGACTGATTACATCAACAAAACAAAAAACCACCTCATCATCTTACATGTCATGTTATTTATTTTTGATTGGTCTTTGGTAGAATTAAATGAAAATTTTTTAACATATGAAAATAATTAAACAAATAAATGGAGAAATTCAATTTGTCTTTAAGACAATCATTTAATGTTTGATTACATTTACACATATAGTGGTACTAAAAGGTTGTATTCACAAACCCACAAACTACATTTATTATTTGCTATTTTTTAATAAATTCCAATTTAGTATATTATTGTATTATCATATTACGGAAAAGTAAATGTAAAAAATGTTTCATTGTTGGTTTATGTACATTCGTAAATTTGAATAGAATTTAAAATAAACAGGAATTATATATGTATATATATAATTTATTAAAATATATTAAGTCTGAATCAAATCCCATTATAAAAATAAATATATGATATTAATTAGATTATAAATAAAAATATTTTGGTATATTGAAAAGTCGTTAGGGTTAATGCTGTTTTTAATAATTATTCATGTTATGTGTAACATCCCATAAAAAAAAAAAAGGGGATAATCCCATATTCCTCCACAAATTTTCTAAAAAGTTCCAATTTCCTACACTAATTTTGAATTTGACAAAAAACTATACCGGATTTCAAATATTTCCAAATTCTCACACAAAATCTTAAAATGTGTAGTAATTTCTCCCATATCCGTAAACGACGTTAAGTTCCGTCAATTTTAATACTGATGTGGCATGCCATGTCATACAGATTTCGCCAAATCAACACATTTCGCCACATCATCCGGCCACGTCAGAAAATAAATAAAAAATAAAATAAAAATAAAAAATTTCTAGATTTTTTTTAAAAACTAATAAAATAAAATAAAAATACAGAATTTCAAATTTTATTTTTTTAAAATAAAATAGAAAATTACATATACATATATATACACTTTTATATCTATACACAATTATATACATATACATATATACAAAATTATATACATATACATATATACACAATTATATACATATACATATATACAAATATACATATACACTTTAATCCCATATTTCTATTTTATTTTTAAAAAATAAAATTTGAAATTCTGTATTTTTATTTTATTTTATTAGTTTTTAAAAAAATTCTAGAAATTTTTTATTTTTATTTTATTTTTTATTTATTTTCTGATGTGGCTGGATGATGTGGCGAAATGTGTTGATTTGACGAAATTTGTATGACGTGGCATACCACGTCAGCATTAAAATTGACGGAACATAATGTCGTTTACGGATATGGAGGAAATTGCAACACATTTTTAGATTTTGTGTAGGAATTTGGAAATATTTGAAATCCAGTGTAGTTTTTTGTCAAATTAAAAATTGATATAGGAAATTGGAACTTTTTCGAAAATTTGTGGAGGAATATGGGATTATCCCAAAAAAAAGTGGAAGAAAACATGCTCCCGTGTTTTCAAATATATACATTTTTAAACCTTTGTTTGTATATGAACATATTGATTTTTTTCTATAGGTTTTAAATTAATTACATCATATAATTTTTTTTATATTATGTTTGTTATTTTTTATCACGTTTAAAAGTTTTTAATCGCATGTTGTGGTGTTGGAGAATTGAACAATTGGATAATTTTTTCAATTTTATTTTTATTTGTGAACTAAATAACTTTGTTGTTATCGGTTTTAAAAATATTTTTGTTAAATGTTTCATATTATTATTATTATTATTATTATTATTATTATTATCGCAAAAAAAAATTTATTTAATAAAAAGCCCGAACCCCGACCCGAACCCGCCGAAGTCCTGTAGGACCGGACTCCGGACCATCGATCCTAGACCCGAAAAATAAATGGGCGGGCCGGCCCGGCCCGAAAAATTCGAATTGAACCCGGTCCGAACCCGGCCCGACCCGCCCATTTTACACCCCTAACTAGCCCCACTCTCTCCCCCACTCCTTCCTTTTTATTCCTCTTCATTTCTTTTACTCTCTCTCTCACGTAACTTTGGTTCCAGACGAAGCTCCTCCAGCAGACGTCTTCTCTAATCCTTAGAAGAATACAACCTTCTGTGTGTTTTGGTTTGAGGTAAGATTTCTTCTTCTCCATCTCCTGATAAATTCTACTTTCCATGTAACTCACATCAATTTCATCCAACCATTAATTAGCTTTCTGAACCTCTTTTTGGTTTTGGTCCCGATTGAATTAAACAAGGAAATTATCACCTGAATTACCTACGGTTATCAAGGAAGCGGAAAAAAAAAAAGAGAAAATTACTGGTGAGTGAATCAAGTTCAATTCGAAAATTCAATTTTCATTGGTTCTTGGGATTTCAATATGTTTGTAGTAAATTAAAGTTTGATTTATATTATTGAACGAATTTTTACGAATTTTAGATTTTAATCCGTTGAATTTTGATATATTTGAGTATTATTCTAAAATCACTAGATTTAGATTGGATCGAACTAAATTTGGTCCGGACCGAATCAAATTATAAGAAATAGAAAAAAAACAAATATATATATATATAAGAATAATCATAATAACCATAACTAATAATAATAATCTCAAAATAATAATATTAATAATTATAATTATCCTAATAATAAATCATAAATAATAATACTAATAAAAGTTATTATAATCATCATCATAAAGTAAATAATAAAATAATAATACTAATAAAAAAACGAAAAGAAAAAGAAACAAGGAAAAAATAACGAAAAAATGATGATGATGATGATGATGATGATGATGATGATGATGATGATGATGATGATGATGATGATGATGATGATGATGATGATGATGATGATGATGATGATGTAAAAGAAAATTCGATCTGAATTTATCGGTCCAAGTAATACTTGGAGCCAAATAAATAGTATTGAAATAAAACTGAACGTAGTTTGGGTCAAACCATAGTTGAAGGCAAATACAAAGATATGAGATAACTTGAATTGGTAATTCGGATAGATCGAAACCTAATTTGAACAAATTTAAAGTTAAAATAAAGGAAAAAAAAAGAGTTTGGGACGACCGTGCGAAGCCAAAAATTTTAATACTCAGTTTGACTTCTACAGACCCAGAAGAGCTCTAGGAAGTTCCTACCCATCATCCAACCACTATCCACTATCCACTACCCACAATCCGCAAACATAACCCAAGGTGAGTGAATTTGAGTTTAATTCGGAAGTCTATTGACATGTGGTTTGGGTTTTGAGTGTCTCATGATTAAATGACGTTTGATTCAAGCTTTGATTGAAATAAAAATTATTGATGAATTACCTATAGCAAATCATGTGTGCTTGTGTGAATTTGGTGGAAAAGATAAAAATGCAGAAATATACCGAAAATAAGGGCCAGACCGGACCCCACATAGTTTGGACCCAAAATGAATAACAGGTAAAGTTAAAAATCACGGAATGAATCGAACTGGTTACCCGGGCGGACCGGGACCAGATAGGTCATATCGGAGGTACAATTTGGTAATATGAATGGAAAGACTCAAAGAAAAGATATAAATAATTATAAAAGACTACGCAAGCGGAAATGCATGTATAGTAAATAAACTATATAAATACGTGTGACTGGGGTAGCTGGCATGGCACTAGCGTTAATTCGAAAGGGTTTGTGATTAAATGCACGATGTTTGCGAAATTGTGTCCCATCCATGGATCATCCGATCCGGGTCGGATGTCACCCATATGGGATATGATTGTGAATGTGGCGATGATATGATCGCGCCAACGTCCGAATGATAGGACGGATATGTTGGTTGATGCTCTAGGATGATCTGTGATATGACATTTTGACTTTGTATTGATTCATTGGTTCATGAATGCATTACTCTTCTCGTTATATAATTGGCATGTTTGTTATATTTCGGAATCCTTGAATCATTAGAGAATGATTCTAAACACCCTGGTCAGTTATCATTGTGAGAACAATGATGAATTAAGACTAGCATGAGGTGTGATCGATGCATTGGATGCATATCACATGGACAGAGTCATGACTTGAATCTCATACAGCGGTTCGTTCTTGGATCCTCAGACCTGAGATGTCTAGAGTATCTGATATGAGGAGTAGCGTGTCTTGACTGCGTCAAACGTCGTCTTTAACCGGATGATTATAACGGCGTTGATCAGATACGTTCAGGAATCATATGGAGATAGTAGACATGCAATATGGGACTTGTCACCTCCTTAACAGGAGAGATATCGCTGGGCCCTCTCGTGGAAATCGGACTATGAAAACGTGTGGCCATGCTATAGATGAAGTTGCATCTATTTTATTAGTTGATTTGCCAAGACGAGAAAGCAGTTGAACTTGAAGGGTGGATCAAAACATGCCCTTGTTCAACATATGATATCGTGAGACAAAGGATCAGAACTCGAGCTGTTGCTGCCTTGGTTAGATCACCTCTAACTCAATTCAACGTGGGTAGTCATGGTGTCTTGCTAGAGGCTAACCATAACTTGTAGATCGGGAATGGTTCTCGAGGCTGC